AATTGTACACATTTAGTTAAAGGTGTTTTTTTTTTTTTTTTATATGGATTAGAAGTTTGTAAGTGTGTGATCATTAATCCGTTAGTCTTATGTGTGAATTCTAAGAAGAAGATTATTGGCTAAAGTAAGATATTTTTACACTAGTGTTAGAAGATTTTTCTTATATATATATATATATATATATATATTAAACTTAAAAAAGAAAAAATTATAAATAAAAAGTTTTATTTTATTTTTACTTATCACGATGATATGTAATTTTGTAAACACCGGGGCTTATCCAATTATAAAGGCTAGAATTTATTATTTTTTCTTACATTTATATTTTCTATAAAATTAACTTTGTTGTGGGGGAAGATTAACAGGATATAAATGCTTCCTCCCTTGCTCATCATTTGGAAGCTTGGTCTTGTGGAAGAAGGCTTTAAGTACAAGATTATCATCGTAAAAGTAATTTTTATTTTTATTTTCCTTTTATTACGAGGTATATAATTCTTGTTTCTAAAGAACGAGAAGTATCGTCTTAATATTAATGTAAATTGATTTTTTTTCTTGATTAAAGTTCTTCACATTTTTATTTGTTATCTGCTTTTAATCTTTATGCTTCTAGATTTGTTGGTACGTTGATATTATGTATATCTTTTTCAATTAGAGTTGAACTAAAGATTAAAAATTAAATAAAGCAATAAAATTGGTGACTTGTATGAGGAAAGATTGGCATTTTATGAAATTTTATAAACTTTTTAATCTAATATGTGTTCTAACTAGGATCTAAGAAACTGTTCTTTCTAAATAAAAAAATATATTACATTATTAAAAAATTGAATTTCAACCACTATTGTGAATACGATCTTCAATATTACTATTATAATTTGGATTTGAATGGATGCTTGTTTGCTTGGGGTGAAGGTTAAGATTAATCATTTCCCAACACTTTTAGTGATTTTTTATTTTATTTTGTAACATCGCTCTAAAATTTGAATTATAATGTTAATTAAGGAATTAAAGATAGTTTTTATTAAAAAAGTGTTATGATTAATGTACTCTCATTATATATGAATTTTTATTCAATTTTTAGAATTTTTTTTTATTAATTATCTAACTAATTATATCAAGGCACTCGTTAATAAAATCATAATCTTAATTTAATTTTGTAATTTTTTTGCAAACAATGGTACTTTTCAATGAAGTGATTTACAAGTTATGTAAAAATACAAAAAATAAAAATAAAATTGACGCTTATTCACTATAAATACCTCCTCGGGTATGTTTAAATTTTTTAACAATAAAATCGTATAATATTTAGTATATTAAACTGTTTATTGACATATATAAATAAATAATCATATACCTTATTATATTAAGTATAACTACTTGTGTCATATTCATTAAATAAAAAAAAATGCTATATTTAGTTGTGATATAATAAATTTTAAACTAAAACCAATTTCATTGTGGTAAAATACATAAATATTGTACATTAAGTACATGGCTTTTTTAATATGTGCCGGTTTCACTGTGGACGAAGCGAGCTCACGCTCACGCTCACCCTCACCCCTCATCGAATTGACAAGTATCCTGAGTGAGTTATTGCATCACTCTACGTGCAGAGAATATGAATTTGAAACATTGTAAAATTATAAACAAAATTGTATCTCATCCACCGCACTCCTCCTCCCGTGTGAGTAAATCTTTGACTAAGATTAGAAAGATCTTGACGTTTCCTTGATATGGCTGAATTATTAAAGTTGTGATGAGATATGTAGCAAGAGTGCAATGAATTAAACCCGCAATATATTACATCTAATTTTGAATTCTTTCTCCCTTGCATTGCTGTGAATGTTTGTAAATTATTCCACTTTGGTGGTGAGGTATGCTTAAAAGAAAAATGCTGCTATTTGGGTACCGATGGGATGGGTTATTAGTAGGGGGAAGTTACAAAATCGTTAACTTTGTAGATTCTAATCAACAGGTTACTTGAAGTCTTAAGGGACCATCATTAACGTGTCCTTGAATACATGAGTGAGAGGTGCCTCCATTTGCCTCGTTTCATTATCTTTAACCTATCCTTTTCCTAAAGCATGACAACCAATTGACAAGAAACATCAACCATCACCTTGGGATAATGGGATTAGACATTGTGCTAAGCTCTTATTAATATTGCTAATAATTTCTTATATGTCATTGCCTTATTGGACATTTTACATCGCCCACGCCTCTCCATGGCTGGCCACTACTATCCACTCCCTGATGTTAACGTCCAACAGATCAACATCTAATTCTCTCAAATCCCACATTTTATTCCAGGAAACACCCCATGTTCCTGGATACTATGTAAAGCTCCACCACATACAAGGGTCTATTCAACCAGACGCTGTTGTATAGTTGTAAACCATTTTTTTTCTTTCTTCTTAGTTATTAATAAATAAGAGGTTCTTCATATTTTTCTTTATTTTTAAAACCAAATTAAAATTAGTATATAACTTAAAGGAATCTAAATTTCTTTTACTCGAACAACACACGTAGATAAGTTATATATTAAAGGTAAATTTGCACATGCATTTGTCACCGATACTTTGATTTATATCTGAAATTAGCTTGCAGTACGAAACATGATTGGCGATTAAGAAAAAGAGAGAGAAATCCCGGGTCATATTCAATGCATCAAATCTTAAACGGATTAATTATCAGCCAGATAGACTCAATTACCAGCATAATTAGTGAAGTACTGTCCATTACTTTTTGTCATAATGATGCCATCCTTACGATCTTGTCAAAATTTTCTTTTTCCCACATCTGATTTTGATTTACTAGAGTCAGATATGTTAGAAATAAGGGAGAATGCTCGACTTTTTAAGGAGAGAAAGGCATAACACTTTTCATGAGTGTGTATGATATAGTCAAGTTTGATGGGGAAAAAAGAAAATTGGGACAATAAAGAGGAACGATGATCGAAGACGAAGAGGGAGTATGGCACGCAGTCATTATTACAAAAATTACTTTAATTCGAAGGAAGAAAGCTAAGCAAGAGGACGGGACATCTTTAATTCCCATCAAGAACTAAGCTTTTTTCTTTAACTTCAACGGTGTTAATTCTAATGCTATGTTTATATGATTGATAAAATATAGATAAAAGAAAAAAAATGAAGTAAAAAATAGACTAAAATTTCTATTTATTTAAATAAAAATAATAATTTATAAATGTTCTGAAAATTTAATCAATAACAAAATTAAAACTTTTATTGTAATATTTTAATAAATTTTACTATAAATTTTTAATGCTTTTTTATGTTATAGAGTTTATTTTAAAAAATCCAACATCCAACTCTCACCCCCTCGCTCCATTTCATGCAACCAGAAATGATCAAATTCAATTATTCTTTATTATGAAAAGAAACATTTAAAGTGGAGTAAAGTTGGTCTTTTTCATCCAATCTCATTTCAATGCTTTTGATTTCAACTGTAACATACAAGAGAAGTTCCGTCTCCTTTCATTTTAGTGTGGGAAATGATAGTCAACGTCCATCAACATTAACATCAATGAAGCAAACTTTGAAGATATATATATATATATATAGTATTGGTTTCACATACTCGAGGTTTAGTCTCATCAGCTAGTGATTTACCCCATGATGTGCGTCACCATCTCACTGCAGAGAAACAATGGAAATAGGACATGAGATCTGCTACTGAGCTAAAACTTTTTTTTTTATCTATTTAAATTCAGTCCATTGAGTGAATAAGTTGAATTTATCCTTTTTGAGAAAAAATAATTAAGATATTAGACCAAGTCTTTTAATAAATATTAGGACTTGCCAAAGTCTTCACTTAATGTGCGTATTGAATAAGGAGGTAACTCATGTATTGGTGAATTTTTAATCGATCAATTCTTCTGAAAAATAAAATAAACGTCTCAGTGATTCAATGATGGGTTACCAATCAAATTAAATCGAAACCTATAAATAATTAGCATTCTCCTCACCATTCCTATATTCTGTCTTTCCCTCTCTAAGCCTCTTTGTTTTTTCTTCTCCTTCGAAGTTTTTTGTGTTAATTTTTTCTCTCATTAACTCTCAATTACATTAGAAATTCATTCATAGTTTTGTGTTATTATTGTAATTTTTCTTTACTTGTCTTATCACTCTTATTTATTTGAGTTAAACTTATAGATAATTTTATACCGGAAATTTTAAAGATAATTTTTAAACGCTTTAAAAAGAATATAATTAAAATGTGAGTACTAACCTATTTAACCTGCAAAGGACTCCGTTGGATTAGTAAATTATAAACCAAAACTAAGTAGCCCAGTAGAACCTAACTTGAAGAGATAAAAAAGAAAGGGCTGATTCGAATTATTCAGATTAGCCTAAATGGATATTCCTAATTTTGACATCAATTATTGCAAAAGTGTGATTCAATAGGGTCACATGTTGGTCACATGTGTCTTAAAAAGATATCCAAAATAAAGAAATTTAAAGTTAGATCCAGTTATATGAATGAATTAAACTGATGCCTTGTAGGCTTAACCCTTATGTGAGGGGTTAGAATCATTTACACTGTGTACCAAGATTTGTAAAATGTTATAGTTGATATTTACAAACTTTTATAATATAAAAATTTAATTAAAATATAAAATAGTTTATATTAGTTCAACCTAAAATAAATGTAGCAGCCGCATAGTTTATATTAAAGAGTATTTATAAATAAATATGGAATGTACAAGAATTTTAATTTAAAATTAAATTTATTTAGTAATAATAAAAAAAATGCCAATACTATGTTTTTCAAATTTTTTAAAAACTAATAATAATTTATAAATATTTAAATATTGTTTAACAAATTACATATTAATCATAGCCAACAGAGAGATTAAATTTTTTGCTTAATGTAATAAAATCCCAACAATCAGTTAGTAAAAACAAACAATTATTTTTATAAAATAAAGTACATAAAATACACTTATACGTACATTATATGTATGAATGCACTCCTTTTCCTTTATAAAAAAATTGAATAAGGGGTTTAGCGTTTTAATTATTCAGAAAAGTAGGTAAAATGATTTTGAAGAACAATTTGTTATTTTGTTTTGAGTAAGTTAGCGCATAGCAGTAGTAAGCGCTACAACCAAGGGTCGAGGAAAATTGGGAAAATGAAGTGATTTTCATCAATTGAGTTTGTATAGAAGATGGATTCAGTGAATGCGAGGGTTAGGGATTTCATAGCGAAGGAAGTTCCCAACTGGAACGACGAAATGGTCGCCGTTGCTCGATTCAAAGCCTTTTCCGGTCAAAGATGTGATTGGCAACCCAATTTCCTTTTCTGGAGGCATTTGATCATCAAAATCGCCACCCATTTTGGCCTCCTCCTCATTCGACCGTCCCAGGTACCAAGTTCTAGGTACTAGGTTTTACAATTTCCCTTCTTTTCCTCTCTCACATTAAATTAGTTGTTTTCAGGTCAAGAATGATTGGTTTAATCGAGGAGGGTTAACCCCTTTGTGTCTTGACCAAGTAATGGTAAGAGCTTATGTTACGATGACCACACTTAATTTGCTATCCAAAACCATTTTTTAGCTTTCTTGTTTCTTTTTGTGTTTACATTTTTTCATTTTCCAGTCTCTAATGTATAATGAAGGTGACATCACAAGAACTGTGGATCTTATGGATCCAACCAGTGGCCGATTCTCCCAACTAGTTAGAAAAGTCAGCAACTTAATAACAAGATCAGCAACTCCTGATATTATGGCTGAAGAATGCATTATCGTAACTTCTCTGCTTAAGGTTACCAGCCACCCTTTTATTTCCAAAGAGAGGGAAAGTCTATTTTTATAGTTTGTTAGGAGGGGGAAAATAAAGTAACTTAACTATTATATCTTTACAGTGATCACATAAACAATTAAGTTTTCGAACTAATGATAGTTTAGTAAGTACAAAGTACAGTCCGAAAACTTTTAGCTTTTTCCCTCCCCACTAAACCCCCCAATATTTGATGAGGAGCAAAAATGGGAGTAGAGGCATCTTAGGTCCCATAACATCCTTGTTTCTCTTTCCTAATTTTTGTACCGAATGAAAATCCTTCCATTTTGTTCCATTTATTTTCTTCAAACCAACCACCATGTAAACACAGTTAGTGTTCGGTTTATCTAATGCATTATGTAATTCAGATTTATTTCACAGGCACAGCAACCGTTAAAATGTTCGTTTCAGTATTTTCTCAAAGAGTGGTTCCATGCCAATATTCTCATACTTGGCAGGGACTGTGCATTGGTTCATTTCCGTGGTCTATGATGTCTGATAGTTCATGTTTACTTCCACGCAATGCTAGTGCTATCAAGTCAATTTAGTTATGCAGGAGTTGGGTTATGTTTTCATTTGTTTGATTATGCTTTATGTTTTCATTATATAACCCAATTATAGCTCTGTTTCTTCATACATAGGATAAGGCTGCTGAGGTTGTTAAACATCTATCTGAAAGTCACTGGAATTCATCTTGCATCATCACGATGAAGAAATTTCAGGACATATGTGGAGGGTCAGATGAAGCATCTGTAATCTTGAGGTATATGTCAGGGTGTAAAACAACACAGTATCTGTCAGTGCATAAGAAAGAATTTGTAGAGGTACAAAATCCTAAGTTATTCTTCCAATTTGAAAAAAGATGGCCTCATTTGATATTTTTCCCTTTAAATATAGTGGTATATAAATAGAATAAAAATATGGCTGTTATTAATAATTTAATACTGGCCAAGTTTGTTCTGTTGTTGTGGACTGTGATTTTCAATACTGATTTCATTTTATGCCTGAAATACTTGTCTTGTTTCAAATTTTATATTACAGGGGGTAAAAATTTCTCTGTCAGCAGGAGCATTATCTGGTATCTCTGATTTAGATTGTGATATACTATACTTGATATGGACAACTGAGAAGCTTCAGCAACAACTGAATGTGACTGACAGGCGTTATGAATCGTAAGTTTGTTTTATAAATTTTTGTACTCGTATATCTATCATGAAGGATTTTCTTAATAATTAAATAGTAAATAAAGTTTCAATTGAAAATAAAAGAAAATCTGCCCACATATGCTGACTTATTTTCCCTTTCTTGTTCCAAATTAAATTATACTTTATCTTAATGCATGGTTGGTTTTTATTTCTTCTTAGAAAAAAACAATTGTTTTTTGTTTTTTCTTTGTCAAAACCACGAAGCCTCTCTCAGTAGGATTATAACTATAAGCTGTTTTAATACAAAATAAGCTAATCCAAACACTCAATTGATTGACAACAAAGTTATTATGTCTAGAATATGATAACCTTTGTGTTTGATCCTCATTCATATGATGTTTTACTTTTGTATAACTGTCTCATGCTCACTGACATAGACTACTTTGCCTTTTGGAATTATTGAACTATTGTGATAGTTTGGTAGTAGTCAATTCTTAAAACATGGATTAACTGACAAGAATTTATCCACAATGCAATTTGATTGGTTCTACTTATAATATTTATGCACAAGGAGTAGTATGGTTGTAACAATCAAAATTCGAAAGTACCAGTGATTTTCAGAGTGTACACTATCTTCCCGGTTTATAGCTATGTTCGTTAGTGTTGGGATGTTTACTAAAAAATGTTTTAATAGCCTCACATATTGATTCTATTAGGTCAAGAAAATCAGCATTGGCTTCTCTACGTTCTGGGAACAAAAAATTGGCCCTTAAATTTGCAAGGGAAATGAAGTTAGTCACCCAGAGTAGAGAAAAATGTTCATCGCTTCTGAGCAGAGTAGAGGAAGTACTTGGCATTATTGCTGATGCTGAGTCAACAAAAAAGGTACGACTTTAAATGTTGTATGAAAATTATCAGTTTATGCTTTATACCATAATTTAAAGATTGTTTTGAGCTATAGATTGTCTTTCTTACATATGGTGATCCGCTGTTTGTTGGCAGGTTTCTGAAGCTATGCAGATTGGAGCTCGGGCTATTAAAGAAAATAAGATCAGTGTGGAAGATGTTGATCTTTGTTTAAGAGATATCCAAGAGAGCATTGATTCGCAGAAGGAAGTTGAAAAGTCACTAGGTATCTTTTGTCATATCTTCTGTGGCACGCATTCGAATCGTGCTTCAGTGTTTGATGTCAATAACCAGGATTTGAAATTTTTCTAAGCATCATTTTGCTTTCTGGTAACTGCAGAACAAACTCCATCATACACAGATATCGAGGATGAAGATATTGAAGAGGAATTCAAGGAGTTGGAGCTGGCTGTGGGGACAGAGGCTCAAGTTCCCGCACCAGAGAAGACGATTAGTAGTGCAGAAGGAAGAACTGCTTTGGAAGCCGCTGAATGTATTAGCGATGCTCTTTCAAGTCTCAAGCTTTCAGATGGTCCAGCTGGGAAGCCAGGAGTTAATCGGGTGGTGTCAGAGGGAGACAAAATAACAAAAAATTTAGAAATGGAGGCTGCGTAAGTTTGTAAAGATTAAAGTTATTCTGCTTTATTTCGGGTGATATATAGACATTAGGTAAGATGTATTTGAGGTGTAGAAAATTCATTTTTCAAAAAAAATAAAAATAAAAAAAAATCTCGATTGACCCATGTTGAACCAAGTCCGCTGTAGAGTTTGGGTGCTTTAGCAGATATTGCTTTTCACAAACATTAAAACAAACTTAAAATGTGTAGTTAGAAACTTCGACTTATTTGTAAGTGTTTAGGTGGTAGGATTTTATTTATTTTTGGCTACCACGGTCAAGTAACTCAACCCAATGTGAAATAAACTATTCAAATGGTGAAGCTGGCAAAGGGTACAATTTACGAAAGAAATTATTGAAATCAATCCATATATGCTTGTGACAAAAGCTTCATGATGGGTTATTGGTTAACAGAAACTAACATCAAGATGAATACAAGTGGTAGAAGAAGATGAAATTCACTATGGGTTGTAACTACCATAAAATTCTGCCTACGATGAAAGGTGAAGGAGATAAAAAAAAGATGAGTGCATAGAACAACATGAAAACCCTTTTTAGTTTAAGGTTTTAGAAATTAGGCACGGTAAAATATTTAACTAGTAAAATAGAGGATAAAAATTTAGCCTAATTTTTTTTCTTACTTGAAATCTTATATATAATTTAACGTATCAACTCATTATTTGGTTAGTATTTTTAATATTACTTAATGGAAAACACTAATATGATTGATGTTAATTAAAGTTAGGGACTAAATTGAAATTTTTAAAGTATTAGAGACAAAATTAACCGATGCATACAATTTTAGAGATAAAAGTGAGTATTAATTCAAAATTTATCTTAACCTTATTTGATAACTACTATATCCTCTAGAAATAAAAAGATGTAAAATCAAATTTTTACCTATATTTCTTAGATTATCTTCTTAAATGATTTCCCATTGACAAACATGCGCTAATTTGTATGACTCTATTGTTTGGTTCAGATTGATGGAGACTCCAATCCAATTTTAGGTTATAAGACTATTCCTAAGAAAATATAGTCATAACAATTATTCTTTAACTATTCATTGATGAATTCAGTATTTTTTTAATTGCTTGTTAACAAGCAAGTAGTTAATATACTATATTTAATATTAAACATTAAAAACTACTCTTTTTAAATACTTTTTATTTTTGAAATATTCTAGCATAAAAAAGAAGTTTTTTTCGTGATTTTCATTTTTCAACCCTACAATTAAATCAGGCTAGGCCCGTTTTTACAGGCCCAACTAGAAAGGGAGGGTGATTTGTTCTTTCGTCTGTGTTTCCCGCCGTTTTTTTTTTTCTTGAGGAGTCGGCTCTCACTCTCTTTATATATAGCCCGATCCGTTAATTTCATTTGTCAATCTTCCAATTTGGTTTTGAGATTCTGTGTTCTTGTGGAGTTTTATTGTTCATCTATAATAATCTGATTCTGATGCCTTCTGATAAACGATTCGGTGAAGAGAAGGATGACAAATTCGTGAAGAGAAGACACAATTCTGATTCTGAAAGTTTTGATCATACTGTTACACGTTCTTGGAGCAGAAAGAGAGATTCCGCCAAAAAGCAATCGTCAAAAGGGAAAAATGGCCCATCTTCAAAAGTCACAGAATCCAAAAGAAAATAAAAATATCTTGTATTTTGTTGAAAGAATTCCAGAATAGGCTCACATAATATCTGCTTCCTTGAAAATGATACCGCATATAAACTTTGTCCAGAGTGCAGACACTTTAGGAACTGATAATTCACCGCATGATATTTTTAATTGTATGATTCTAGATAATTTAGGGGTTTATTGAAGGTTTGCTTCGGAATCGGAAAACTAAGAGCAAGTTGAAGTTCATAACAAGTCAGAAATTCTGAAGAGATACATCTGCAGTTTCAGAAAGTCTGTTCTCAGATTCAAACATGCATCTAGGTATATGAGACTGATGAACTATTAAGCTTAAGATTTCCCATTTTTTGTGTGTTTCTGGAAAGAAGAAATATGTTTCAGAGGGAAGCTCACTAATCTCAGCAAATTAAAGAGGAAATGGTTAGAAACAAAATTTGAAGGAAAAAATGGTTGGCTGAACTAGGGATAGGTTATGTTCTTTATGTGCTAATTTTGGTACTTTCTTGTCTTTATGATTATGTTCATGCATCACATCCCCTTCTGTTCCTTTTCTCTCCTCTTCCTCTGAAAATAAATGACACGAGAAACGTTTTAAACTGCATTTACAGGATTGCAGAAGCACTACTGGAAGTCTTGAGGCAGACCACATAGCCAAGTATCGGAATTTCTTCTATGTATGTGTTTTGTGTTTGTTAAAATACCAGCTTGTTGATGTTTTGCTTTTGATTTAATTTGAGCGAACTGTGAAAGTCGTTTTATTCCCTCTCATTTTTCATTGAACTCGGGCCTTGTTTATTTTTTTTCTTTCCCTTGGGTTGTCATTTCTTCATAATATTGAAAACTATCATTGTAAGTAGGGGCAAAGCTTTTTGTTAATGCAGAGAAATCATCAATAGGAGAGTCATATTGTACTTTACCATGAACCCAACCTCTTTTAAGCATTTTTAGTTTGAAGCAGTAAAAAGGATTAGTTGAGTATCAACAGGCTTAGTTTCCGAATACCATTACCATTTCCACTAAAATCAAGCTGTTAAAAAGAAGTGGTGAAGTAGATCAAATTCTGACATGCATCCTTCTCTGATGAAAGGCAAAACCTTAAGATATCTGAAATTTCTCCTCTTAAGATGATGAATCAGACGGGCCATCCACCACTTCCCCAGAAATTACAGCTTTTCTGGGAATGGAATCCATGAGCTCCTTTGGAGTGATAAGTATACGGAAGATTGATTTTAGTGTATTATTGGTTCAACTTATTTTACAAAAATAATTAATTTTTTTTTTTTACCAACATAGTAATAGTATTTTTGAAACACAGGTAATCATTTTTATAGATTTAAATTATACCAAATATGTTATTACTCACTCCTATTTCAAATCGCCGATGGCGAAGTGTTAACTGCTGCAATTGAAGACATTATAGCTGTGTCCTTTTTTCCTGTCAAAGTTATAGCCATGTGCTAAAAGGAGAAAATTTAAAATTGATATAATTTATGTTTATCATTTTCTATACAAGTCCTTAATCCTTATGCGAGTAAGAATTTTAATTATATAACTATATCTAAATGATAAAAAATTATATATTACTTAAAATCATATGATCATTAAAATATACAGCTTTAATTTAATAATTCATGATAAATTTAATAGGTAATATTTGTCACTACTCTAGAATATATGTAGGTAATATATACACATGTTAACCAAAAAGGAAAAAAAAGTAGTATATACATATAGAAAATGAGATTATCTTTTCACTTAATATTTTTTTAATAATCAAGTTATTTACTCCTAATACATTACAAAATTCTATTGTGTAAATTTGATGCATGATCAAACTTCCTTGAGTAATTCTATTTATAAAGGATTTTTTTTCCCCCCACAATTTTCACCAAAAATGGTTTGGCTGAGTTCAAGCACTTATTATGCATGACTAATGAGTGTGGGTGAGAAGGGAGAGAGTATTTGGTAATATAAATTTATACATTATTTAAAAGTTTATAATTTATTTTTAATAAAATAATAAAATTGTTTGATAAATAAAAAAATTATACCCTTTAAAATTTAATTTATAACAAGTTATTTTAAGTAACATCTAACTTATTGGAAGTTAATAATGGATATTTTCTTCGACTTTTATACCTTTCCACCTAATCATTTATTTATATGGTAAAAATGATTAAATAGTCTCGAATTACCTATAATATGTTGAGCTTTGTGACCATCAAATTTTTACATTACATTTTTCTTACTTTGATAAAAAAATTAGGAATTTTTGTTGTTGATATGAACGTTTTGGACTCTAATTATCAAAAACATTTTAAGGACTTTAAAGAAAAATAAAAGTTTTAGAAACTTATTGTTGCTGGTTAAAATCCTAATTCATCCCTACACCATTTTATCTGCTAACTGATATTAGACTCTAACAAAAGATTGTGTTTAATTGGTTTAAACTTGAATAAAATTGATTTTAATGTAAATAATTTTAAACCCTTATATATTTTTTAGATGTGTGTATGAATTAATTAGAATCATATATTTTTTATTAAAATGTATTTTATATTAAAAAATGCGAAAAATAATTCTCCAGTTACAAAATAAACAAAAGCTGATAGGCTGGTTGTGTGTTTACTAAAAAAGAAATATATTAAAATTGAAAAATAAATCTTCTGACAATAAACTTCCAACATGTCGGTCGATTTTGAAAAATGTGCGAAATCAATTTTGGAAGCTAATCGAACAGGCTCTAATTTCTTGTTTTACTTTCTTGTTATCTGTTTGATCTCACATACATCAGTTAAAACTTGACAAGTTTAGTGATATGTTTGTAGATAATTTGTAGTTCAAGAACATGATATAAGTTTAGAAGAAAACAAGAATGGTTATATAGAATAAAATGTTTAAATCCATTCATCTGCGTGACAAACGCTAAAAAACATAATGGAATTATTGATTGTTTTCTTGTTCTTTTTTAGTTCATCCTTTTAGTGGAACCACAATTAATTTCTCACTTCTCTAATTTTATATCCTGTTTTGTTTTCGTATAAAAATATACTAAATATAAAATCAAATTCATATGTTATCCGTTCCATAACGCTTTCGAGGTTCAACATATGCTGAATGTAAAATTAAATTATGTAAATTCCTTTTTTTTTTTAATATTATGATCAAGATATTATAAAGGATTTTTTAAAATGAAAAGTCATTGTTGTTTCAATTAATCACGACAAAAATACGTTTGAATCAGTTTGGATTATTTTTTTTCGAAATATCTTTTCAATCAAGAATTTTGACAAAAGAAAAAATCTTTTCTGAAATTAAATGGAGAATGTTATGTTGTTTGAGGTTCATTGGGATACAAATTGGTTGGACTTATATCGTAGTAGGCAAATCAAATGCCCTGAAAAACCCTAAGGCTGTTGGACGACGGCGGACAATCATAGAAATATTGGTCATCATTAGAGACTTTTGTTTGGAACTGAGGAAAAAATGCCATGGACAACCCGTTATATATACGGTCAATATATTATTTAATAAATTGTTTATATTTCTACCAAAACCAAAAAGGAAAAAAAAAAGCTTTATATTTTAGTTTATCATATTGCGGTAAGGCGTGGTTAAAAGAAGTTATTATTATTTTTACTACAAATATCTTTACATGAAATAAATCTTATTTGCATAAAAACATCTACAAATTGGTGGGACAAATTCCCTTAACAATTTTCTTATAGATAAAGTTTGAACATCAAACCTTTCTTTAAGGTTTAAGTAATTGACAGATGCCACTATGAAATGAAAAATATTTGATCAACGTAAAAATGGGACATTTGATTGCACCATTACTTTAAAATATATTTTAAAGATGTTTGTATATATATATATATATGTATATATATATATATATATATATATATATATATATATAAAATAGAAATAGATGAAAAATTAAAGACAATTATTTAAATATAACATACAATGTCAAATTTTCTATGTTTGAAATTATAAAATTTAAGTCTTGAAATTATTTGGAAGTGAAAGCAGAAATTGAAAGAAGATGAAAATATAAATTGCTGATTGCAAATATATCTGCAAGACATTATCCACACGCCCCACAAGCTGAGTGTTATGGTGTCGGGGACTTTGTCTGTCATTTTCGGTGTCTGGTGTTGAATCGTCCTCGTTAATTTCCTTAGTGTATAGTAGCTACCTCGATCACCCTCGTCTAAAATTTCAAAGTTCCCATAGTCATGAATATGAAAAGTACCGACAAGAGTACAACGGGGCACGTGAATCGAATGTGAGTTTCACGTGAAAGTGGGAACCACTCGCACATTTCTCCAATTCCTAAGATTGAAAATGTGATATGATACATGAGGGAGGGTGTGCCTTTGCATGTACCTGTGTGACCCCCCCCCACTTAGATGCTCGTGGTGGAGGGTCCTCTAAGCAACCCAATAAACCCCACCATGGGCCTCACACCCCACCAAAACCTTAGATTCCATGTAGTGGGGTTTCCTTTTGATGTAACTATCAATAATCCCTCTCCTTTGAACCCCCTCTATACGTGTTCTCATAACCCATCTCACCTTCATCTCTAAACAAGTAAAATCCAGAAATATTAATGTCAAGAACCTAAGGATCTTATCCCTGTTTATATCTGTTCAGAAATAAATGTCGCACCATGCTTAAGGTGGAACCAAATCACTTGTCCCCATTCATGTTCCTTCAATTAAAAAATGACACTTCAAAAATAAAAAAACTATGATAGAGAATGTTATTTTTTAACCACGTAACAAAGATAAGAAATGAGGACAAGAAACAAAAACAATTTATTTCAATCAACGTAGAACATACTAGATAACTTGTGTGTGTATGCTTGTTTCAGTTTTATTCTTAAAAGAAGAACAAGACAGTTTTTTTTTTATTATTTATAAAAACTTTGAGAAAGTTATTGAAAAATTCTCCTCTAAGTTAACCCAAGGACAAAGAAAGTTCGGAAAAGTAATGTGTTTTTAAATATCTTCTTTTGATTTAGGAACATGGTGTGTCATTTTCGGCGAGAAATACAAACAACTAATTTGTTTGATATACATTAGAAAAATGTGGAATAAACATGTGGAGAGCAAAGGAAGGTGTTGGTCCACCTTCTCATGCTTGACACCTAACCAGTATAAAACAACAAAAGAGAACTGCATGAAATTTGTGGACACATTTGAGAGAATCCCATGAAAATTTATTTCGCTGAGTACTAGGAATTAAATTGGGATATGACTTGTATGCCATCTGAATGAAGACCACATGGATTATTATTTATTACTGATATCATATCAATTCATCTTAGTATAGCCATAAATTCCCTCATAACAAGATCTTGCTTTCGTACAAGAAACCACTCCATTACTTGAATACTTCTTCTGTACAGGTTTAATCAATCCGGGACATCTGCTTTCTCAAAGAGCTATATAATTCGTGCGTGCACAGTGGCCAATTGCGATTATCACAATTTCACTTTATTAGCTTCACATAAGTTATTGGGCCTCAAGTGAGACTAGTAATTATCTGCCGCTTATATACATCAAGTGTGTGGCACCAAGAAACAGCATAACACCTTAGGCAAGGAATTAGTTCAATTTCTTAGCTTAATTTCATATAATTCAAGGACTCAAAAGATGCTAGACTCCGCTCGCTCAGGGATGACAAGAAACTCCTCCCATCTAGCCTCCATGTAAGTATTGTGTCGCTCAATTACAATTTGGATATGATGGCTTGTCAAATATATATATGTATATGTATATATGTTCAAATGGGTTTTGTATTATATTTTATTTTCCTTCTTTAATCTTATTTCAGTTATGATAACGATTTTCTTGAGCTGGTATGTGAAAACGGTCAAGTTGTTGTACGAGGAGGTTCATCAAATAGAACACAAAAGACCCCTTCCTGCATCGGGTATTCCATAAGCCCTTCACGTAAGCAAACAACAGATGAAGATGCTTGCATTGCAAAAGGAACAAGGTTAAGCACATTATACACACTTTTAGATCACTTTCCACCTCAAAGGGACGCTGACAAGAGCTCTTCAAATCAAAGCAATGACCAAGAGTCCTCTCAATCCTCCCATACCAAGAATTCGTGTAAGCTGAATGAAGAATTTGCAAACTTACTGGGACCAGAAAAAGACTATAAGCCCGTTACCACAGATAATGTTCATTTGTGCCCATACTCCTCACAACAGTGCTTACCTTCATCTCCGCTCAAGAAACAAAGAACAGACCCAGGCCAAGCACCAGCAACAAACTCACACAACTTAGGATGCGGTCAAAGAGCACAAAAAGTGAACTTCTCCAACTTTTTGATACCTGCAGTATTTCTCAAATCTACTACAAACAGTGCAACTGAGCCAACAAGAAACGCACTTTCAGGAAGAGTAGTGGAGGAGATTGAAGCACGCAAGGTTGAGAAAGCATCAGCTGAAGGATCACATGGTCTCACAGGATTTCAAAAGCAAACATCTTTTGTTGAAAGAAGACCAGAAGCGCCCCTTGATGAGCATTCTGAAGCTGTTGGCAATAACAGTTGTGGCCTTGGAATTCACAGATCCAATACTCAACGTTGTAACCAAACCTCAAGCTCAGGAGCACTTGGAGCAAAGGGAAAAGCTAACACTAACTTGTGTAATGAGCCGTTGCTAGCATCTCCTTCTGTATGCTCTCTTGGAGCCTCAAACGACCCAAACCTTGCTATCAGGTTGCATGAGGACACTGATGACCCAGCATATTTGAGTGATGTAAGTGGAACCCTAGGCTATATTTTTACCTTCTTTGGTACTTCGTGTGGGTTACCATCATTCTAAGGAACCTGGATTTGTTTGATGCAGAATGATGAAGAAGCAGAAGATTTACTTCAGCAAACGCCAGATAGGGAGGGTAACAGAATTAAGAGAAGCAGGAATGCGGAGGTTCATAATTTATCTGAAAAGGTAAGGAAAGCATTCAGAAGATATGATAAAGTAGATTTCATGAGATGTAGTAATGTACCCCCCCCCCCAAAAAAAATAAGAAAAAAAAGATAGAGAATTTGTATACGTGTCAAATAATTCCATCTAACCGGTAATTGTGGATGTTTGCAGAAGCGAAGAGAAAGAATCAACAAGAAGATGCGTACATTGAAAGAGCTCATACCCAATTGCAATAAGGTGTGTGTGTGTTCCCGCTTTGTCGTTGTATATTTAATTTTTCTGTCAAGAGACTTTCTTGCACTTGTTTTAGTTCTCTAAGTTTGTCTTGTATGTGTGTCTCTTAGGTGGACAAAGCATCAATGCTTGATGATGCAATCGACTATCTCAAGACTCTAAAGCTTCAGTTACAGGTAAAATTTTGAGTTCATTTCTGTTGGTCAAATTTTGTAATTAAATGTTGAAATTTGAATGAAAGTGTTAGTTAAGCCCAGTATCATATTATATATATATGATATGATGCAGATTATGTCAATGGGTAGTGGTTTATGGCCACTTATGATGTTACCTGCTGCGGCACATCACATAAATGGACCACATTTACCACAGTTAATGGGAGCTGGAATGGGTTTCAGGCCACCACAGCTCCCTATTCCGCTCCCTATTCCACCACTGTCTGCTTCTGCTATCACAAACAACAGATTTCAGATGTTTGGTTTCCCCAACCAAATACCACCCATGCCAATTCCACATGCACCATATTTTCCCATCATTGGAAACTCTTCTACTACACAACCACACTTGGCAACTAGCCCTACAGCTACCACCAACCTAAGGGAACATCTAGCTAATTCTTCAACTCCACAGGTCGCAATTCCCAACAATATTAACTCAGATTTTCATGCGAAGGTCCAAAATGCAGTAAAGCAAGTGCCTAATCAGGTTTCCCTTCACCACCACAATACTAGTCCACTGGCTATCCCTTTCATTTTCCCACAAAGATAGAGGTAAAAACGAAAATGATGGAGAAGAAGGGAAATTTTGAATGATGAAAAAATTAGATTAAACATGTTTTCTTTTTCTTTTTCATCAACGATTAAAGATGTTAAACGACTGTGAAGTTAGTTTACCCTTTACCGAAAGATTGCATATATCATTTTCTGATTTTGTAGAACACCAGCAGCAGATTCTGACTATTCACAGTTTGATGCTCAACCACTCTGATGTACCGATGAAAATGATGGATAGAAAAATGAGTTATGAAAATTACAAAAATGTCCTCTCTTTTTTCACATCAAATTTTTTGACACCTTTTTATCAGGAAACAACTTTCGTCATCTCTTTTAATTTTAGTGAATTATTTTTTAAATATGTATATATAAAAAATAAATAATTATGTTCAATATTAAATTCGGCATTAATTATTTGATGGGTTAAAATAATAAAAAATAAAAATATGAAAATTAATTACCATAGTAGATATTATTATAACAGTTATAAAAAATTAAAAAAGTTTTTTTATTAACTTTATAGGGGAAAAAAAAGAAATTTTTGTGTGTATAAGAAAATACTCACAATTAGCATTATAAAGGAAAATGGATCACAGTAAGAGAAATTAAACCAAACACTCATAATTTATGTTTCACTGTTGAACTGATTAAGCTATGCACGTTTATGATAATACTGTAGTGTAGGGCCTCACTTGTAAGTTGCATATGGAAGTTAAATTTCTTAAAAATTTTGCAGCACATTTAAGATTGTATATTTTAAGGGTAAATACCCAAAAAAGATTCAAAGATCCATTCACTCCTTAACAACAAACATAAAAGGGTTGGGGGGATCACACCCGAATTCTTTGCTACATTAGCATGCTCGAAATACAATTATTGTGCTATGCACGAAAAGCTGTGGATTACATATGATATGAGTTGTTTCAAGGTTGACTTAATAATTTTAATTAAATATTTCAACGAGAAGGATTAGAATCGAAGACTCATACGTGGTCTCAAATTTTAATACTAATTAATACAATTATATTAAATATTTAAAAAGTAATTTTGTTGTTCAGAATAATTCTCGACTCGAACAAAACAATCTAAAATTGATATAAAGTTCTAAATGATTTATATATGAAAAATACAAGTATATCCTTCAACATTTTTCAATTAAAACTAAAATTAGTATATCTTGTCATAGTTCACCTAAAGTCTATATTGTCACCTTAACATTGTAATTGAATATTATTTAAAAAGTTATTATACTTGAAAGTTTATAATATTTATTATTCATGTAGATGAACTTAAGTAATAATATCATATAATATTATATATATATATATATATATATATGGTAATTTTTATTGTAAGTATCTACTGAATGAGATATATTTCATCGGAGAGGCCTAAGGAAAAGGGTATTAAAGTATGTGAATTCGATCTGCTTTGTTAAGGTCTGATTTTTAAAAAATTTAGATGCTATGTATATAATAAAAAAAAATTAAAAAGTTAATTTAAATTAAAATATTGATGATTAACATTTATTTATAAAATATAATTTAAAATCTAGTTAACGAACTATAATCTTAAAGTAACACTTTTAAAATAAGTAAATTTATGATTTTTAAGAAAATAGACTTTATATATTAATTTTTCTAAAACAAAATCTTATATTCGTCTTATACCTCCATTTATGTAGAGCGGTCATGATTTTCATTCCTATTTATAAAGGCATGTTCCTTCATTAAAAAGGTAGGCCCAATTACAGTCAATGAGAGAGAGAATACATAAATTCTTCGAAAAATAATAGATCAAACCGATTTGCATGCACTTATAATTAAGTTAATTTGTTTAAACTTGCAATTAAACGAGCTGATTTACTTATTAATTGGTTTTTTTTTTACCTAAAATTGATCTTTGTTGATCGGCCTAAACCATTTAATGGATAGCCCAAAATAATTTTTAAAAAAAAGTATTTTCCGCAAAAGAATGGGTTGATCTGTAGGTTTGCAAATCAAGTCCATTTCATTTGCAACTTTTGTTGGACGCAGTTATATTTTTATAGCTAAACGTTCAAATATTTTCCTAGTCCAAGTTCACAAAAATCGCAGGTTATGGGGACTGCCATGAACATATTCAGAAAAATAAAATAAAATAAAATAAAAAATATATTTAATTATTAAAATTAATAAAATTATTAAAAAAATATGTTTTTTTACATTTCAATATATTAAAATTTAAAAAATATTTTTATATACATATAAATTATATCCTATTATTTAATATAAGATAAATTATTTTATCTTGTCTTATTCTAATCAGGAAACAAACCCTAAATGGCTTGGTAAATGTTGAGAAAATGAAAAGAAAAATTCCAATTCTACTATTGAATTACATTAGTGGGGCTACCAATTCTGGAATCTTATCAGTGTTCAATAACTGCTTCATGAAACTGATGGATACTGGTTCAGAACATAGATATTAACGGAAATAAAGAGATGAATTTTATTTAATATCCTCCTCATACTTCAGATCAATGGAGCCCAAAGAGAATGGTTTATATTGTAATACAAGTTGCCAAAAATTCACAAGCCTAGCCTCTCTCAACCTCCTTATTTCTCCCAAAGTAAACATTCCACATTGTTTATGTACTCCAGCCATTATTCCAACATTGAAACAATTGCCTGACAAAGTGTATTTTGATGCTTTAATCCCAAAGTTCTCCCTCTACCCATTTATGCAGTCTCGAATTAGAACTGAGCCAAAAAGGTGAGGGGCACAGCATATGTGCTTGAATCAGGAGTTCGTGTAGGTGTAGTGTCACACACAAGCGGTTATAATTATTTGATACAAGTGATTACTAAAGCTCCTTGCATATGCAATAATAGTAATAATACTATTAATAATGCGATGAAGTCAGCAACATATGAAAGTAGTGACTTAGAATCGAAAGGAAAAGGTTAATGATATTTTGCTCCATTTCATAGGGTGACATCAGTATAATGTTTAAATGAAGTAGTGACTCCGTATCAACAAAATTCCATGTTTATGTTACACCCCAATTTGGAATGTTTATATGAAAAGGCGTCTCCAAAAATAATAAAAATTAAGATAAATGAGAAAGTGAAAACTGTGATAAGTGATAAAAAAGAAGAAGAAAGGGTATAAATAATGAGAGAAAGTGATTGTGAAAATATCGTCATTGAAAGAAAAATAGTTAATAGACAGCTGTTAGACACTACTTGAGGCGTCTACGCTGTGAGAAAAAATGATAAACAAAAGGTTATAATACCATGACTGTCATGATATTATAAATCAAGAAGGGTGAATAGTATTAAAGGAGTGATGACATTATATTTTGTCTAAAATTAAATAAAATTAGAATGCTATTTATTTTATTTTAAAATATCTATAAAAATGGGAAAATAACCTATATAAATCTTTAAAATAAAAAAAAAACATTATTTTGTAATTGTTAAAAAAATAAAAACATTCTCAAACCAATCGATAATAATACATAAATTAATTTTTATATGTTATTCTACCTTAATCAAGGATTGAGCCTTAGTACATAGAAATGTAAAAGAATACCTTTGGCACTTACTAAAAATTAAAGCATCGATACTTTTAAATAGAAGTCACGTGTGTCATGTTAGGACATTGCACGAACACTTCAAATACTTCTAGATTTATTTTTTATATAATTTTCTTACTTTGATTTTGTAAATTTTACACTAATACTAATTGATATGCCGCAATAATTAGATAAATTTTAAAATATTTAATGCCTACAATGACTCACTCATTTTTGTCTCGTGTAATTTAAAAGTTTAAATTCACATTAATTGTCCTATTTTTAAAATTTTAAAATTCATCATATTTTCGTGTGTATTTAATCATTATCGTATCTCATACTATATCATACTTCCTAGGTGACTCGTTGCTTTTACTTGACTTGGATTAATTAAATGCTTAGTGTAATATTTACAGAGTGATAATCTTAAGGGGAAAAATCAATAACAATGTATGAAAAAAATGATGAAGAAGTAAAAATAGGAATTCAAAGAGGTAATGAGCTTGTTATTGTTCAACTATTGGATTTGGTACGGAAAGATGATGAAGAAGTCGTCAATTACTGAAGCATAAAGGGGATGATGGGAGATAGAATTAAAACCCATCTTTTACAATAACATAAACATAAAGAAATTGGAGGATTTGGTCTTAACATGGCGAGACACATTTACTTGCGCTATTAAACAAAAGGGGAATGTAGGTTACACGCTGCTTTCCTAAGGTTCTCTGTTGGAGACCAAATGACAATTTGATGGCTAATGAAAGCAACGTTATGTAGTTATGGTTGGGGTGGCAGGGAACATTTCACTTTTTCTTCTTTCTTCTTTTATTGCTACGTTAATAACTGGTTTAGACACACCCATTAAAATATTTAATAACATTTAAAGCATTAAAATTTTAATAAATGTTCTCAAGACAGTCATTTTAATTTATTTTTTTTCCGTTTGAATATTACTTATTTCTTTAGATCCAAGCATACAAGTTCTTGCTCCCTCTCCAAGTTGTGAACCATCGTTGAAAAAAATGAACACGTGACAGAGGGAAACGAAAATTGCGTTAGACGCGTGAAATCGTACACGTGGGGGCGAGGTGTTGAACGTAGAAGAAGTTGTTTAGTTCTTTTGTGTGTTAGCAAAGAAATAAGCTTGATTTTGTGTCCCCAAGACTCACACCACCAGATTCACACTTGTCACTTTGTTCCACTTTTCTGCTTCCTTTTTTGCTATTTCTTGCTCCCTCCCATTCATAACATCTTCTTTCTTTCTTTCTTTTTTCCCCTAATCGTCTCTCTTTACTACTTAAAATTATTTATTAAATGAAATAATGTTTATTACACGTTTCTAAAACTTTTAAAAGATTTTTGAAACTACTGTTTAGTTAATAGCATATTGCTTTGCTTTCGCAGCCTGAGAAAGAGAGTCTATCTCGTTCTTAAAAACTATATTTAAATTAATAATGTAAAGGTAAATAATTTCTGTTAGTAAATTTAAAATAACAAAACAAGTGTGAGACAATAAAGTCAAGCATGCATTGGTTTTTCTGTACCACACCTCTTTTCTTTAAAAGAGACTTATTTGAAAAAGGAATGGACTATTTACGTGGGTTCTGCTTTAAAGAAGCAAATATATCAAACGATCAAAAGTAAATTATTCAATGCATTGATTTTCTTTTTTTAAAAAATTGTTAGAAGTGCTTCTTAACCTAAAATCATTCATGTTCTAGCAATGAAGGAAAATAAAAGAAGGATATTATTAAGAATTACATATTATTAATTAAAAAGAATTAATGTACAAATACTTTTAATGATTTTAAAAATTAAATATAAATGATTTTATATTTTTAGTATAATATTTGTTAATGTTTATTTCATTGACTAATACACCTTAAAACATACATAACTTTGTACTAAACAACGATTTATTTATTTATTTTATCTTTTTATATACCTATAATTAGAAAACAACTAAAATTATCTTAAAAAATTATAGATAAAAGATCTTCCTTCTTGAAAAGGAAAAGGGAGGACACATGTCTGATGGTGAGTTGGGTTTAGTGTAACTGTAATAAAAGCGCACAACTTCTCTTCATAAGTATGTTGTGATGTCGTGGATGGGTTTTGTGGTGTTGAGAGAGCGTTTCAAGGAAGTACATCAATATGTTTCAAAGCATCACAGCAGTAGATGCAGCATCACCGGTTCCAATGCCTTTATATATTTTGTCCCTGCAATCAACGTCCCTCATGCGCAACACGATGATTATATCCATTGAACATTGATTAATGGGCATTACATGTACATGTTAAAGGTTTCAGATATCAATGTTCTCTTGTCCACCCCAATTGTCTGCAGTCTAGGTTCACTCCCTCAATCTCACTATATTACTTCCTACACGCGTTGTCCGTCACTTGTCTCTATAGTAACTCCAACATCAAATTACTAAAGCTAAATAATACTAGTGTTAAATTCAAGAATTACAAACAAATAAATAAACTTTATTATACATTATAATAATAAAAATATTACATGAATCATAAAAGTATGAGATCATCAATTCTAACTGATGTTAACATACTATGGACATGAAGGGGGATGGAATGAACGCATATTTCAATGGAATCAAGCCACGTCATTGTATAGATGCCAAGTTGGAATTTTGTTAATGACACGTGTAGTTGTCGGCTACCATGACAACATTTGAGGTCTACCAATTACATGGAAGAAAGAAAAAGAAGGGAAGTGGCGCTGCAGTTGAGGAAGTCTTGATTCGTAGAATAATAGCAACAGGACACGTTCTCTTTCTTCGTTTATTTAAGGCCTTAATGTGGCGGCTTTGTCTGTCATCTTGCTACTTCCTTCTACAATGGGCAAAGCCGCTAGTTCTTCCTCTTCTTCCATTAGCAGCAGCAGCAACCACCACCACCACCACTTCATTTCAACCGCATCCTCTCTCACTCACCTCAACACACAAGAACTTCCTACTGATCTTAGCCTTGGTCTCAGCATTTCAGCCACCCAACATGTTGGCTCTTCTATTTCAAGGTTTGCACTGCATTCTACTCAAATTTTCCAACCCTTTTGCATTTGTATTAAACCATGACTTGTGTCATAAATTTAATGATTTGTGTATTTCTTATATTAGAGGGCAATGGCAACAGAGCCACCCACTTGTGAGCAATTCACAAGCTGCTGAAGTAAATGATTGCAATGATCATAGCAGCTTCTTTGTGAAGGTGTACATGGAAGGCATCCCAATTGGAAGAAAGCTGAATATACTAGCTCACGAAGGCTACTATGAGTTAGTGAGGACACTAGAACACATGTTCGACACTACCATTCTGTGTAAAGTCCATTGCTAAATGATATCTCAGTGAGGTTTTGATTGTGATGTTTTTTGTTTCCACATCATTGAAATGACAGTGGAATGTGGTGTGTTAACAGGGGGGACAGAGATGAATGGGGTGCAACCGGAGAGATGCCATGTGCTAACTTATGAAGATGAAGAAGGGGATTTGGTGATGGTTGGGGATGTGCCATGGGAGTAAGTTTAATTTTGTTTTGTCTATGAGAAACAAGCGCATTATGTTCCATTTTTGTGGACTAAGGTGTTTGGTCTTTCGATTGTGTAGGATGTTCTTGTCCACCGTAAAGAGATTGAAGATCACAAGGGTAGACACATTCGGGTGTTAAATGTATAATAAAATGACATGGATTGCCCCTTCCTCCCACCAGTGATTTCAAATTTTGTCCTCTAGTACTGTGGTTCGCTGATTAGAAAATTTAGAGAATCTTAGTGAAATATGCAAATAGATGTATATGCATAGCTCACTCTGTTCTTCTTTCGTTGAAAGAAAATGGAAAAGAATAGTGTTGTACATTCTTAACACAGCCTACTGGCTTTACTTTCTTTCTAGAATCTCAACGGCTAAGTTCTAAATGTTAGCTTTATTTCTTTGCCAACTAATTTCCCTCAATAAAGTAAGGACCAAGAGGAAGGATTGCAAAGAGATTTTAGCCTGTTGAGAAAATGAAATTGTGCAAGTCTTTTTGTTTTATTCCTGGGAATTGAGTACGTTACATTCAAGAGTGGAGCCATATCACAAATAGTTTGAGATTACATATGGTTTACATATTTAATGTTATTTTATAGGCTAATAAAACATGTATGCATGTGGCTAACTTAACTTTTGTATACATCTCCTTTTATATGGTAATAGGTACATAGAATTTTAAGAAGTGGGCGTATTGTCTCCTTCCAAAATAAAGAATAAACCATAAACCTTATAAAAATTGTAACAATGTTATTAATGCATTGAATTATGTGATATTTTAATTTTTTTAATAAAAAATTAGTATAAATATATTTTGAAGAACTTTGTACGTGTAATACAATCGAACCAAGATCCTGTAGATCTCCTTAATTTACGATGCGAAGAATGTGTACAGCAGTTACTGAACTTATCTGTGTATAATGCGTGGTCCTAGGCCTTAGCTCTCCTAATCAAGCCTAATTACCCAATAGGTATTATTTTTCCAGTTCGGAATCGAAACTCCAAATTACTCAACATGTGTAATAATAATTGCTCAATATGACATGGATCCCAGTAGATTGGTTGAGTGTCAAAGCCCAAACTAGAGCCCGTCTAGTACTTGTACGTTAACCCAAATAAAAAAGGTGTCAAGCCCAATCTACCTAAAAGAACTTTAAAAAAAATACGTCATTGTTTCTCTAAATTTAAACTGAATTAGAAGAATGTCACAAATAGATATATTTGATTCAACTTAATTTAAAAAATAATTACTTAATTTTGAATTTTTTTAAATAAAAAATTCTGTCTTTAAAATAAACTAAACTAAATGTGCACTACATAAAATATGGTGTTAAGATTAATTCGGATAATCACGAAAAGAAAAAGGATTAATTTGGATAAGTATAATTCAAACTCTCGTTGAAAAAAAAAACTACATTTAATGCCTATCCGTGAATAAAATTGTGAGGGAAAAAAAAAAAACTAGAATCCGATGGTAGGATAGATCCAAATATTTCGGACAATCAATTTATATATAAAAGAGTGACATCATGGCTGTCGTTTCTTCTTTTATTTGTATTTTTTTGCCACTCGCGGTTTAGAGTTTTGATAATGGATAGTAAGAAGAATATAAAACTTTCTATTTGTCAACACCACAGAAGGAAAATGCCATGAAGCAGGCATTACTATATTTGAATACATTATTGAAGATTTGCTAGAGAAATTAAAGAAAGAGAAAACAGATGATGAAAGTGAGAAGAAGTTCATTAGAAGGGTTTCTGATATCCACAATCTAAGTTAGGTCCAGTGTCGACGTTGAACAACTTAGCATATCTTTCAAAAAATCCAATTCTATCATTTACTCTTGCATCACCAGGAATTCCACATTCTAGCCCACCATTGATTATGTTAGTCACCAAGCCATAACCAGCTGTTCGATTAGCTGCTATGTCAGCTTCTGTTGGCACATATTTTCCCACCATCACATCGTGGCAAGAAGGTTCTGCCTTTCTCTCTGTCGTCCAAAACCACAGCGCAGTTTTGAAGGCAATCACTGAATCGTTCGACACAATCTCTGGGCTCCTCAGTCCATCAAACCCCAAAGCCTTCCCTGCTGGCCCATAGTTATAGTTCCTGCAAAAAAAATTTATTCCAGTTAATAAATTACACCATTATACACATAGTTATATCTGATCATAAGAAACTTTTATTTTAATTTGACTTTATAAAATATCATCCACTTTAATTGTAGGATCCTCTTCATTTATTGGATACTCTATAGAATATGAATATCCATTATTGTCAGTGTATGTACCAAGAAAGTTGAATGGGTCCTCTTCCCTTGTAACTTTTGCCTGGGTAGCAAGGCCATTGTTTGTTAGTAGAATCACAGTAATTAATCTTAGGGTTTATTTCTTCCTTGAAGCACAAGCCCCAAGCATATGGACCGTCAGGTGCAGTGGCCCATCCACCGGTGGTTTCATGGGAAATTTGAGCAAGAAATGCAGCAATCTCACGCTTGCGTGTGGTTAAACAACCAGTAGTACCAAATGTGGGATAGAATTTGGATGCATGAATGAACGAGTCGTAGGTGTAGAAGTCTTTGGCAGGGCATGCAGTGTCATCTTTGTGTAGAAAAAGGGTGTTAAAATTTTTTTTGCTTATGAGAGAAGAGATGGGCACGTAGGGGGAGCCCCATGCTTCAGCTTCCAAAGTTGATGAATATAGAAGACCAATGAAGCAACATAAGCTCAAGAAGAAGAAGAATGTCATTTGCCAAAATAAAAAAAGAAAAAGGTTCAGTTAAATGTAGCTAACTATTATACACAGTCTTTGTTTTGGCAATAGGTAGGAACAAGCAAAAAGGCCTTTTATAGGCACATGTGAAGAGGGAATATATTATCAGAACAAAACTTGCCCAACAAAAGTACCGATTTCACGGATCTCACTCACATGAGTATGTGTTATTTTGCAATTGATCGGCTTTTTGTTTTTTCAATATTCGGGATTTTTGTTTGTATTTGTTTGTGCTTGTTCGTGTTGCATACTTTTTCTATAGAATATGAATATCTTCGTTCTTATTAATGAAATATATAATTGGTAATTTAATAATTCGCGGCAGTTGACTGAGCATTTGCTAAGGTGAAAATGGTAAATTAGAAAAAAATATTACTTATTAATAATTTAATATTAAATAAGTTATTATTAATATACATTAAATATGGGTATAATATATTATTTATTAATTAGTGTAAACATTTAACATTTATATTAAGATTTTTGGTAAAAGAATTATACTAACAAATATTATCTTAATATTTAATATTTTTGAATAAATAATAATGTTTTTGTACAGAGATATATAAGCCACAGGACCCACGAATTTATCCCCGCCTGCAGGTTTTTGGCCACGAGTGGCATAAATTGAATAGAATGGTCAACAAATGTTTAGTTTATGTAAAGAGAGGTGAGTAAGACAAAAACTAGCGACGATCGAATATGTTACTTTGACAAATAGGTTCTCTGTTTTCTCAGCCTAATTTTTTTTACTCCATTGTTAAAACTATACATATTGAAAATATAATCTTTATAGTTCTTTCTTTTTTTTACTTTAAATATCCATTTCATATCTCATTAAGAGGGGTATGAAATGGATTTTAAAAATTGATTTTAAGAATAAAAAATTATTATATTACAAATATAAGTATATAATAAATATTTTATCCTAAATGAAAATATATTGCTTTCGTACATTTAAAATTAATGTTAACCTAACCGTGAAAATATAAATAAAATTAACAAGTTTTTCGGCGTATAAACGTCGCCTCCATCTTTATTTCCAAACACTTATCTTAATTTTGCATTTGCTTCGTCGTGTTTGAAAGGAAAAATGGTTTATTAAAAAAAATTTAGGCATTGTTCCATCTCCTATTCTTTATTGGTGGAATTGCCACTTGCCAATATGCCTATGCATTATTTACAAAAACACCAACATTTATCAAATAGTATAAATTAAGTAAAAAATATTATTTTTATAAAAATTGAATTTAAGTATGAAACTATAATTTATCACTGTTTTAACTGATAATTAAGATCAATAACGCATCACATTGACTGATTCAAAAAAAAAAAAAAGAATAAAATATTATAAATAGAGTAAGAAATATATCACAAAAATTACAATTAAAGTAACAACAACGATTAACAGTTGATAATATTAAACTCTTTTCTATTCTCCTGTCCAACATCGAGTTTAATAGTAAAGAGAGTAGTTATTTTCATTGTGCAGTTATTATTTTAAAGGCAGTGACTTAGATTCTAGAAACTATATTTGTTATATTTTTTGTTTTAAAAGTTATTTTAAAATTGATGAAATTTAAATTTAATAAAGAGTCAAGATTGAGTAGAAATATAAGATTTGGATTTTAGCCATGCGACATTTTATTTTGTTATTCAACTGAGATTAATTTAATAAAAGAAGTCTATTGAAAATATAATTGGAATTTATGGATCAATTAGGATGGTTATAATGAAGATCATAGAGTCTCTTTATAAATGACTTGAAGTATAGAGAATAAATACATTTTACCATTGTTTTAACTAAATAGGACAAAAAGTCCAAAAAATATATTCCATTATATAATAATAATAATAATAATTAGCTTCACTGCATATTTTTTTAATGATATATTCATTTCTCTAGTAACTTTTTTTCTCTGTTTTTAATTGTTTACGATTGTCTTTATGACTGGCTCTCTTCAAAATTAATTTGAGTTTGCCCCCATAAAATGTAAAATGACTTGATTCGCTGTACTGCTATATCAATATTTGGTGTTAATTCATGGATCTCAATCTATTTTCCCCGATTATTGAAATATCCTTAGGCATTACCAAATGGTTCGATTCACATTTTATTTTTGCCATTTTATCCAACACAATCATTTTTATAATGACAATATAAAAATATGAAAATTTTACTCTAACTATAATAAACTACTTCAAATATTGAATTTTTAACGAATTCAATGAACACAATAAACTTGAATTGAAATAAGAATGAAGAATTCATATAAAATATATATTAAATGGTAATTTTTTTTATGTGTGAATGAGATGATAAATTTTGAACATTAAATTTATTATAAATATACAATGTTAAAACATATGAGTAATGTTATTTTTTAAAATATTACATAACTTTTTTGACGTAATCATATAAATTAAAAAATATATATTTTAATTAAGTATGGATGCATAGTTTAAATTTACCATTCTCATTCTTATATTAAAAGAATTATTCTTACTAAATGCATTCCTAATTTAATGTTCATAATAAATTATGCTTATATTTTTTTACTTAGACATATCACGAATATTAAATAGACCTACCTATTTAATGTATATATGGTGAGAATAGATACAAAATAAAATTTCAATATAACCAATCAAGTTAAATTTAACATTGAGAGAATTTATTCTCGATTTAAAATAATTGTGAGTTCTTCATTGAACTTACTCATTCTTCAAGCAAAAGAATTAAAAAAGATGACATCCAAATCCCAACCAAAAAGAAAGGCTACTTACAATTTTGCAATTGTAACGAGGGCCTTAGCCCACATAACAGTTTCTGGACCTATTGTATATTGGTCTGTTGGATAGAATGTCACTATTTACAGATATACAAATATTTAATGGCTTAACAAGCAAAAACGATATACTAATGTTTAACCCAAAAAGAGAATATTGACACAAAAGAAAATAAACTTTTAGTGTATACAAGAGGAACTATTTTAATCTCATAAATTTAGTGCATGTTAAATTAATTTTTTTATATTTAAGATGATTTATAATAAAAATCGTATTAAGTGAAATTATCAAAAGAATAATTTTTAAAGCGCGTATATTTAGTTCAGTTAAACGAGTAACTATTCAGTTTCTTTTTTCTATATGTATGTCCGAACAGTTTTCTTATCCAATACATAATTCAAATAGGCTAATGTTATTAATAAGGTAGCTACTATTGTTTTAGTTTTTTAAAGTATTAATTATTATTACGTAAAAGCATTATTTGGGAGGCTTTAAATTTAAAGTGAAGCTTCAGTTGCCTTAGAGTTGGCCTAGCCCTAAAACATAATAAATACTTAATATATTTATCGTAAAAAATGGAATTAGATAGTTCAGAAAATTTTATATTCTTCTTTCTTGATAAATCAAAGTTATGTCAATAATTTTATTTATCTGAATTATTTCATTAATATTGTAAGATTGGTTTAATAAAATTAATAATATTCGATAACCATGAGATCCGTACTAAGATAATTTTTGTGAATTTTTGTAAATATAAAAAAGGTTTTTTTGCATAAAATATTCTACGCATGACCAGTCAATTGATTTTGTTTTCGTGTTTTTATGTTTCATGATATTAATTAAATTTCGTGGGTATAAAGTCCACAAGGGTTATATTATTTAATGGCAATTATAACCGAAGTCTTAATGTATTATTCTATGGGTCTATGGGATAGTTTTTTTATAAAAGGAGTTTTCGCCTATTTGAGCAACTTGTAAAATGCCCACAAACGAAAGCAGCTGTAAACGAAATAAATGGCCCATCAAAAAGGGGAAAACATCAAATCATATTCTTCTTCTTTTTACAAAATGTAAAATTAAGTAAAAGTTATGGAATTGAAGATGATTTTTTATATACACAAGATAACACTAAATAACAATGCAAGAAAAAGCAACTCATAAGAATCTTTTCTAAGATGAATAACATTTTTTGTCACTTTATGAATTTTTTTAATTAAATTAAAATATATATTTTATATTTATAGTTTATATTTATTTATAAATTAATTACTGTATAATTTTTTAGTGTTTTGCATGTTATGTTTTATTTCTTATAACTTTAATAGTATTAATAAAAATTATTATTTATACATGTTAGTATTTTTTAAATAGTATCATAAAGATAGAAAGACTAAGAAGTAACACGGTTACATAAAAATTAAAACATAAAAACTAATTTATAAATAAATATCAATAAAAACAGCCTGTGCTTTTATATTTTAACCATTTCAATTGCATAGAAAAATCAGAATCTATGTCTTGAATATTTAAAGAAAGAAAATTGGTTTTGACCGGTCAATAAAAAAGGGAAACCATGAATTCTACCAAAAGTTTTACAGGCAAAAATCAGTTATAATATACAAAGTTTTTTTTAATCTCTCTCCACCATATGTGATCATGAAAAAAAAAATGTCTGACTATCCTGAATTTGTGAAACTCTGTATGGAACTATTCATAGATAAAAATAAAATATCAACTGCACCATGATGTGCATGGCAAACTTGCAGACGAACACATCATTGCTTAGCAAGTTTTCATATCTATCCATTGAACATTAAAACATGCAAGTCGAAAGTCGAAAAGATGTCATGTATATTCAAACCAGAGAGAAATAATTTCGAATATACATATATGTACTAAAACTTTCAACTATATTCAAAGTATATGTTTCCACATACTTGAATTTAAACAGAGACAAATAATAATAATTAGGGATATAAATTTTCTCACTTTCAAAATTTACATGATAATATTGATATGTTTAGGTTTTGTATTTATCTCGTTTTTTTATATAGACATTAAGTAATTAGCATTCCTGTCCATGTTAAGTGGAAGATTTTTTTTCACAGTTAAGAAAGTAAGGTTAAGTTTAGGTAAAGAAGTTTTTGTTAAAGAATATTAATATAAAAATTGAATTAAACTTTATT